TGGTAGTTACATAATCTCCTGCCAACTTGAGGGTATTAGAGCTTGATGACCTCATTTGGAGGCTTGAGGGGGAAATTTGCTCACTGGATGTGGGCTACTCTCTCTCTCTCTCTCTGATTCACATTCCTGTTGACAAGCCACATGCAGCCATGCTTATGGCAGCCAGAGCCCTGGACTTGCTTCCCCTGCCATTGGATCCACAGGACTTTTCACCCACCAGCCTGTGATCTTCCTGCATTTGGCATTCTTGCATGTGTTACGTGAGTCTATAGAGGAATCTATAGACTATTATAGTCTATAATGAGCTAAAATATAATAATATATAATATAATGAGATAATATCACACTATGGACTTGATCTGGACTGTGCTGGGATGTTTTCTTAATATACAATTACTCTTGATATAAAGCTATCTGCATATATGAGTTATGCATATATGAGTGTCTCTAGATTTGTTTCTTTAGTCAACCTGGGTTGACATACTAAGCTGAAGAGATAACTTGTCAGGGAAGAGGCAGAATGCTAAGAATCACAAACTTTAATTCTTATATTTTATAAATAAGCTGATATAGAGCAAGTGTTGCCTTTTCTTTATGTTATTTCCTATAATATTTAATATAAAGTTCTTAATCTCAAAAGGTTACTTCATGTTCTTGGCCTGTCTTGTGTTTTTCCTCTATTACCGCCATTGACTGCAGAGAAAAAACAAAAACAAAACTTACCTGTGTCATTCCTAAAAAAATTTAGGAATCTTATGGAGGCACTTAATATAACCGTGGATCTGAGAAGGATGACTTGCAACCTTTTGCCTTTTTACCTAGCTTTCCTCCAGATGATCTGCCTCCATAAAGATTACAGCCATGAAAATGCTAAGACCGTTCTACTCTATGGGATCACTATATTTTAGAATCAACCAGACAGACCTACGGTAGCAACAACAACAACAACAACAAAGAGAGTTTTGCTGATGAAACACATAACTATCTAGTTCTTTAATATTTCCTCCCCTCACTATTATGGTTCTTGTTTTAGCTCATTAATCTAGTTAGACATGAGTCTGTTCATTTGCATAATTAAGGTCATTTGCATCATGAAAGCCAAGATAAATAACCATTCAGAAGCAGTAGCAGGAGTAATGATACCCTGAGGGTTCTGGAACAGGGGTGGGTCAGGGGGAGAGGATCTCTGATAGCAACTTTGATTGTATAATCCACTTGAGGGGAACAAATAACATAATTGTAGGTGAACGGATATATTGGATGGTGTAAGACACAGAAAGTTACATAAAAATATAAATATACATATATGTATATAACATAACAGTAAGTGCTGCTGGGGGCTATGGCGTGGGAGGGAGGGGATAAAGGGGTACGGATATCAAGAAGTTCAAGGAGAAAGAAAATGTTTTGAAACTGGTGACGGCAGCAATTGTACAATTATGCTTGATCTAATTGAATTATGAATTGTTACAACATCTGTACGAGCTCCCAGTAAAGTGATTAATATGAAAAAAATACTTAACTATACAAAGGATTTTCCAAGTTATTTCAAGGATTAAGACCAGATTATTGACTGCGATTTAGTGTGATACTGCCATTCAATTTCACGTGTACACTCATATGCAGGAGATTTCAGAGTTTGCACTAGGTATTATACATCTATGAGGCACTCATGGATTCAAAGATGGAGTAGACCTATCAAGTAGTTTAAAGGTCACCTGATTTAATTTGTAACACTTACACGTGTGAAGCCTGGAGCCCAGAGAGTAAGCAGTTTGAGCATTGAGCTAGTGAGGTACACAGAGCCAAGGTCTTCTTGGGCCCATTGTATGATCTTGCACTACTGAAGACAGTCCATGCAAATCCTCACACCACTTTGTGCATTCTATTTTGTTTCATTGCAACCCCTTCACTTTCTCCTTATTCCAGTTGTTTCCTTGTTTCTGCAAACCACACTCCATGGTTACTTTTCAATCTTTCTTCAGGTTTCTTTGACCAAATATATTCTGGTGTAAAACCAGGATTGGTCAGTAGTCAGGGAATAGATGGTTGCTGGCAACCAATGCAGCTCTATCTTTTTTAACTATAATCTGCAGGGGCGGGATGAGGAAAGTAAACCATTCGAGCTAAAGTTGCACATTCCTTGTAATAAAATATGTTAAAGAGATTGTAGAGATTTTTCAGATTAATCGGATTAAATGTCAAGTTAAAGCATTTATTTTAACTCAATGTTGTTTGAAAAATTCCCCTTACTAATCACAGCAGTCTTGATGGAATTTTTTTTCAAATTGCTCAAAGACAAAAAGGTTGGGTCCAGATGCCATTAGAGGGGCCAGTTAATTCTGAGAGTCTTTTTGTATTTACCTGTTCGTGGTTGAAAGCTGGGTCCAGCTACCTATTTAGTCAGTAAAGACAGATCTGAGACTTCAAGAACCTTATTGTTCTGTATTGTTGCTCATGGTCAATAGTTCTTTCTCAGAGTTACCCTGAAACCTGAGCTAATGTAAAACATCTTTATGGGACTCCACAAAGCATAAATTCCACAGTAAAAGGTATATATTATCTATGTATTCTGATTTAAAACAGGATACCACAAAGACAGTCTGTTTCACTGTCCATTTCCCCACTGGTGTGCACTTTCTAATGTAAAAGTAATATTTTGCCGTCTATTTGAAGTGGTTGAATTGGATGTGTTACTCGGGAGTAAATACATACATTTTATTGAAAGCATGACTTTGGATATGATGGCAATGTATATGCACCTGAAAGGAGTCAGCTAGGCTTGAATAAAATTTAAACAAAATGAAAAGATTATGTTAACTACTTACCACCATCTTCATAGAAATAGGATTGGCAGATCACCAGCAAACTCTTAAATTTAGGAAGCTGCTGTTTAGCTATCATCCTTCCATCTTGTATTGTACCTACTCATCTTTTGCCTTCCTCCCAAAATTATTTGAGGCAGTAAGCCATCAGAAAATAGTAAGACATCTTTGTTAAATGTAAAATAGCCTTACTAGTAAAGTTAAAAACAAAAGACTGAAACATAAAATATTCATCTGAGAGGACTACTAATCTTATGAAATTTAAAAGTATATAAATCTTTTAGTGTTAAGTAATGACAATTTTCCACCTATGACTCTTCTATTAAATAACAGGGAACTTCAAAAAGTTTGTGGGGGAAAAGTCCATTATCTCTTAATTACATTTTTCTAGAAACTATTTGAAGCCCTCTTATAAATGGCAATACCTACAATTTCCTTTAAACATACATCTCTTTCTCTGTGTATGTCAATACATACACATGAAAGGGTTTCAAAGAGTCTTTGGAAATAAATGGTAGGCCAGGACTGCCATAGATTTACTATTTTAATGCCCTACTTGCTGTATTATAACATCTATTAATCTGGAAGAGATGGTTCTATCTTTGTGACTGAATGTTATGGAAAGTTTTGCCCTATTACCAACCCCCACTGCATGTATAAATAGGGTCCTGTCACTTAAGAGTTTAAACTGTACATTTTAACAATTCATGTATTGTGGTTCACAGTCATCCTATATTTTTATAATTTTCTTTTCTCAGCAGTCTTCAAACAAGCAGCCATCCAAGTGAGGCATCAACTAAGTCCACATGGAAGAAGCACACCAGCCTATGTGATCTAAGAATTGTTAATAACAAAATCCAAATTTATAGAAGGGAATGGTATCAGAGCTTAAACTGTGAACACCTCGTTTGCAGAAGGTTATGGATTGTGGTGGAAGCCCAACATCCATTTGCAGAATCCTGACATAGATTAAGCCTCCAGTGAATTGTCTCCGATCATAGTTGAGGGATGTAAATAGCCCTGTTATCAGACAGAGAGTTTTGTAAAGTAGATTATTGCAGAAGTAGTTTGGTTAAAATTCAACACCTTAGCATTTAATAACCTTTTTGACTCATTTTTCATTTGTTCTAGCTTTTATTGTTTTCTCCTTTCTTTTTGAATGTGGTTTGTATCTGTTTTACTTTGTTATTGTTGTTGGGTTTTTGTTGTTGTTGTTGTTTTGCTTTTGGGGGTGTATGTTTTCCTGTATATGAAATCCAGGATAGATAAATCTATAGAGACAGTAACTGGATTAATTGTGTCTTGGAGTTGTGGCAGGAGAGGTTGGGGGAAATAAAGAGTTATTAATAGTGAGTATAAGAAAGAAGAAAATGTTCTAAAATTGATTGTGGTGAAGATTATACTTTTAATATGATTGAGCTATTTAATTGTATGGTATGTCATTTATGCCAATAAAACTATTTAAAAGTTTGTGGGAAAATTCCACTATTTTTAATTGCAGTTTTTCACAGAATTTTAAAGCCCTCTTCTACCCTGTTTCCCCGAAAGTAAAACATCCCCTGAAAATAAAACCTAGTTACAGTTTTGCCTCTCGCTGAAATATAAGGCATCCCCCCGAAAATAAGGGCCCCCTGAAGCTATCATAACTCTGGACTCTGGACCGTAGTGGCGGGCACAGCACAGCCAGAGCAGACAGGAAGTGCGAGGTCTCTTTTAAATAAAACAACAAAACAATAAACAGTAAATGTGTACCGTATTCTTTTTCATGGAAAAATAAGACAACCCCTGAAAATAAGACCTAGCGCATCTTTGGGAGCAAAAATTAATATAAGACACTGTCTTATTTTCAGGGAAACGGTATATGCTGCTCTCTGTGATTTTTGAAATTACTCTATTAGGATAGCCCGATAGCATCTGCTAACTCTATTCCTATATACAACCATAACTACATTTTCTCTACAATTGAACAGCAAAACAGAAATGTCTTTTTATGTTAGTCATGACAAGCAATGAGGACAACAGCATGCGACACTCACAAATTCACTGGTAAAACATCAGGCATGTTAAAAAGGCAGCTCTGTATCTAAAAACAACATTAGAAAAATTCCTTGGATTGTGACAAAAGTAGGCAGTGAATCTTTCCCCAAATACAGAAACCAAATCACAAGCCCTTACCTTGCAGGGCCTGTAAGCTATGAGTCTGTACGATAATGCAGAGCTGCAGGACCAGCTGTGGAGCACTTTCCAGAAAGGTGGCTAGCAAATGCAGCATACTCACATCTGCATATTCATACACCATTTTCCAGTAAAACCTCCATCTGTCATTCTCCCCACTCTGTCGGCTGCGAATGCCTAAGTATATGGTGTGGAAATATCTAGAAAGAAAACAGAGAGGAAAAAGAAAAGATGAAAAGTCAGGGTTTTTTAATTTTTCTTTCTTTAAGTCACCATGTGAAAATACGCAAGAAACAACTTGACTTACACCTTAAGGCATTGAAAGTATCATTAAGCGCTCACTTTGAGAAGTCACTGCAATTGTAGTACTTACTAAAAGTATGCTCTTGAATTGCATCAGAAAGAAAAGTAGGGTAAACTGTAGGTGGAAAGTCAGCTATAGATAGTACTCGCTACTTTTTAAACTTACTACACATCCTTTCTAGTCAGTTTCTCTGTGTGTTCAACTGTATTCATGAGATAAATTTCTCCTAAGATACATGTCTGAAATAATAAAATATATATGCTTATAAATTCTCCTATAGTCTTTTAAAAATATTTCATTATTGGAAAATTTCAAACACCTATAAAAAAAAGGGAAGAAAAAAAACACACCCCATAATGAATCCACTCTACCCATCAGCCACCCTAAGTAATGGGGAATACAATACCAGTCATTTCTCATCCATACTTCTA